CACTTTTCTGGGATCTAATTCTTTGCCAGTATTGGCTATCAGATGGTCCAGACCTGATGAGGGGCATATGAGGCCCCATGAATGAAACTAATTTGAATTCGAATCTTAAGTTTAAGATGTGACATGTTTTTGTTATATTGGTTCAGTCTATTTTCTGTTGAGAGTTGATAAATAAGTTCACATACAGTAGTGACATGGGCCTAAGTGCTAGAGGAGTTATGGTGATTTATTTGACTTGGTTCCCTTTCTTTGACTATGAAATAAGCTTTGGCATGTAATTTTTTCTTGTGATATGATGCATTTTAACATTCTGATATTTGTTATGAGTCATTGGAACTCGAGGGTTTTCAGCACTTTTCCGGGATCTAATTCTTTGCCAGTATTGGCTATCAAATGGTCCAGACCTGATGAGGGGCATATGAGGCCCCTTGGATGAAACTAATTTGAATTGGTATCCTAAGTTTAAGATGTCACATGTTTTGGTTATATTGGTTCAGTCTATTTTCTGTTTTAGAGTTGATAAATAAGTTGACATACAGTAGTGGCATAAACCTAAGTGCTAGAGGAGTTATGGTGATTTATTTGACTTGGTTCCCTTTCTTTGACCATGAAATAAGCTTTGGCATGTAATTTTTTCTTGTGATGTGATGCATTTGAACATTCAGATATTTGTTATGAGTCATTGGAACTCGAGGTGTTCAGCACTATTCTGGGATCTAATTCTTCGCCAGTATTGGCTATCAGATGGTCCAGACCTGATGAGGGGCATATGGGGCCCCATGGATGAAACTAATTTGAATTCAAATCTTAAGTTTAAGATGTCACATGGTTTGGTTATATTGGTTCAGTATATTTTCTGTTTTGAGAGTTGATAAATAAGTTGACATACAGTAGTGACAAAGACCTAAGTGCTAGAGAAGTTATGGTGATTTATTTGACTTGGTTCCCTTTCTTTGACCATGAAATAAGCTTCGCCATGTAATTTTTTCTTGTGATATGATGCATTTGAACATACTGATATTTGTTATGAGTCATTGGAACTCGAGATTTTCAG